GGAGGGGGGAGGCTGGGAAGGGATGTGAAGGGTAAACAAAGGAGGAGGCTGCAATGCTTGGTAAGAAATGTACGCATTATCCTGCCCATGTAATTGTAACTCCTCTGTACAGTATGTTCACAAATAAAATAAAAAAAATTTAAAAAAAAAGAAAAAAAAAGATAGCATAGTTAACATATTTTGCTGCTTAGCTGCTTAGCCAGACATTTTAGCCAGTAAGATCGTTACTTACTAAATGTTAACTAATCATGTAACCACTGAGTTGGAAATCCACTACCCTTGCTGTAACCACAATAAAAACCCTGCTAAACTGGAAGTTAAGGCTCTCAACTCTAACCCACTGCATTGGTATGGTTTTGAGTACAGGCTCCAGCTTGCAATAAACGACTCCTATGCTGGCATTGGAATTGCATCTCCTTGGTGGTCTTTGGGGATCCTTATCTGGGCACAACAACACTGTTGAAAATAAACTTTACAACTTTGGGGAGGGGGAGGGAGGAGTTGGAGAAGTGGGGAGGGAAGGTATAGTAGGGGAAAGGCAAAGGAGGGGGTACAATGCTAGATAGGAAATGTACTCATTACCTTACTCATGTAACTGTAATCCTCCGTACAGTATCTCTACAATAAAAATATATATTAAAATTTAAAAAAAGTTTAAGTTGAATTGAATTGATTTTTTTTCAATTCAGCTTTTGTTAACAAATAATTTTTAAATGTGAAGTATGGACTTCATTGACCGATTATAGAAAGGAAAGAAGTTTTCTTAAGAAGTATAAAGTCCAAAGCAGGAAAGGTCAAAAGCTATGTACATATGACCATATAAGATGATGTTAAGCAAAAGGAACCCCAAGAGAGAGACACAGTGGTTTTTCCTTTCTTGCTATTGTTTATAACGTATTTATAATGTACTATGATTTTTTTTTGTTCTCCTTCCTGTTTTCACTGTATTTGATTCCAGTGCCCTGCATCTCATAAATATATTTTTGTAATTTGGGGAGGGTAAGGAAATAATAAAAGGCTTAAATAAGGATAAAAAAAAGAAGTATAAAGTCCAGCTGGAACTACATTTACCTCAAAGGTCGAGGGTAGCTTCTTGTTTTGCAATGATACTAAAAGCCATGAGATTCATAAATTCTGAAAAGCCAATGACATTTTTCAATATTTATTTTCATTAAATTGCCTAATATTCACTCTACATAACATATAAAATTCTTTCAACCAAAGTGTAGAGGTAAACAAGGGGGCTGGGAAGGTGGCTCAGTGGTAGAGTGCTTGCCTTGCATGCATGAGGTGCTGGGTTGATTCCTCAGCACCACATAATCAGAAAAAGCTGGAAGTGGAACTGTGGCTCAAGTGGTAGAGCACTAACCTTGAGCTGAAGAGCTCAGAGACAGTGCCTAGGCCCAGAGTTCAGGCCCCACAATCAACAACAACAACAAAAATGTGTTGCAAGTTAGACGCTGGTGACTCACACCTGTTGACAAAAAAGAAAGAAAGAGGCCTGGGAAGGTGGCTCAGTGGTAAAGTGCTTGCCTTGCATGCATGAGGCCCTGGGTTCGAATACTCAGCACCACATAAACAGAAAAAGCCGGAAGTTGTGCTGTGGCTCAAGTGGTAGAGTGCTAGCCTTGAGCTGAAGAGCTGAGGGACAGTGCCCAGGCCCAGAGTTCAGGTCCCAGGACTGACAAGAAAGAAAAAGAGAAAGGAAGAAAGAAAGAAAGAAAGGAAGGAAGAAAGAAAGAAAGAAAGAAAGAAAGAAAGAAAGAAAGAAAAAGAAAGAAAGAAAGACAGGCATCAGTGGTTCACTCATACAATCCTATAATCCTGTCATCTGGACCTAGATCTGAGGATCAAAGTTCAACTTCAGTCCTGGCGGGAAAGTCCACCAGACTCTTATCTCCAGTTAATCACTAAAATTAAACAGTCAGAAGTGGAGTTGTGGCTCAAATGGTAGTGCTGTCCTGAGAACAGTGTGATGAATTTCATATTTCAAGCAAAGTTTATCTAATCCTTACCTTCATTAGAGTGATTGTCACCTTCTCTTTGGAAGGCTTATATATGATGAATAACAGTGTCAGTAAGAATGTAAAAATGAGTGCTTGAAAGACAAAAGTTTTTATAAATGAGTAAATTTGTAAGGTAATAAATAATGGAAGCAATCTGTGTCCATTTCCCAACTGAAACTCCTGACAAATTTCCATGGTATGTCTCAGCTCGTATAATTCATTTATTAAATAAAGGGACATTATCATCAACAATGTGAAGCTACACTACTGATGAAATGATGTACTGAAATGACTTGGCTCAATTCTTACCACAATGTGGTTCATTTTAAGGCTTGGAAAGGTTTGTGCATATAGAAATGATCATAATTATTGCATGAACTACAAACATTTAGAATCTGACAGGAGACTCTGAACATTCATTGTGCTTCATGGTTTTGTTTTGTTTTTCTCTCTTTTTTGAACTTTTTAGGAGACTGGCTATTCTCTTACCTTCACAGATGTGAGGATGTGACTTAGTGGCGCAATAAACTGTGAACACAGATGACTAGCAGAAGCAGACAGAACTAGGGTGATCTTACCTACGAAGCCAACCTGTATGTGGAAATACATTTCATACTCAATTTTATATCAAATTAGAATCTATTACCTGTTCCTTTGACTTTTTTTTTGCTAGTCCTGGGACTTGAACTTGGCCCTGGCACTGTCCTTGAGCTAATTTGCTCAAGGCTAGTGCTTTACCATTTGGGCCACAGTGCCTCTTCCAGCTTTTTCTGAGTAGTTCAATGGAGATTAGTCTCATGGACTTTCCTGTGCAGGATGGCTTTGAACTGATATCTTCAGATCTCAGCCTCTTGAGTAGCTAGAATTACAGAAATGAGACACCTGTAGGATGGGACAAGACTTATATTTGAAATATTATTTTTTGGGGGGAGGGGTTGGTCGTGGGGCTTGAACTCTGGGCCTAAGTGCTGTCCCTTAGTTTTTCAGCTCAAGGCTAGTGCTCTACCACTTGAGCTATAGCGCCACTTCCGGTTTTCTGGTGGTTTATTGAAGATAAGAGTTTCTTGGACTTTCCTAGCTGGGCTAACTTTGAACCACGATCCTCAGATCTCAGCCTGCTGAGTAGCTAGGATTACAGGCATGAGCCACCAGTGCCTGGCCCTTACATTTGAAATTTTACGGAAGATTTTTTTTATCATTTTTATTTTTATTTTTATTGATACTATAGTGTGTGTATATATATATATATATATAATTTATATATCATATGTGACAGAGACCTCACATATATCATATATGTGTACCAATATATGTGACATATGTATATGCATGATATACACAGGTATTATTTTTCAATACATATTTTATATTGGTATTAACTCTTATTTTCAAAATTTTATTCTTCAATTGTTTTAAAAAATACTCATAGAACCTGGATGCCAATGCCTCATACCTGTAATTTTAGCTACTCAGGAAACTGAAATGTGAGGATAATGGTTCCAAGCCAGCCTGGACAGAAAAGTCCTCCTGAGACAAGTATGTATCTTCAATTAACCACTCAAATAACGAAGTGGCTCAAGTGGTAGAGCACTAGCCTTGAGCGCAAAGAGCCTCAGAGACAGCATCCAGGCCCTGAGTTCAAGTCCCAGGACAAGCAAAATAATTATATGTGTGTGTGTGTGTGTGTGTGTGTTCTTTTTAAAGTTTTTCTTCCTTTTCTCTTCATTTTTCTTATTTTCTTCATTTTTCTTATTATTTATTTTCTTATTCACAGCAGATATGGAAATACAATGAGAAGGAATGTGAAGTGCTACCTAAGTTTATAACCATAGTTACGAAATAACTCATAAAGCTACTGAATTTGTCTTAGGTAAATTTGGTCTTGGCTTTTCACTGGCTTTAGCTTCTCACTCTTTTCTAACATGCCTTATTTTGAGTAAATCTTTAAAATTATGTTTCAATATAAAGATTCCTATTTTTTGATCGCTGTCAAAATTACATCATCTGGAACATACACCTTTACAACATCTATGTTTCTCAGATATTGTAAATTCTAAGCAGATCCTTGTTGTATTCCACAAATAACATATTAGACTTATGATCACACATAAATTTCCAGGTATAGAAATAGGCTGATATTATTCACAGTTAAAATAAGCTTTATTTCTGTGATTACTGACCATCACATTCAAGCCGTAAGTGCTTTAGTCTTAAGTGCTTTTAACTCCTGAAAGGCTGTAATAAATACATAAAATTAAATATGCTAAGTGGGAAGAGAAAACGTATATTCCTTTAATTGACTTGGAAATAATTTTTAAAATATAAAAGTGAGGAAATATATCCGCAAAACACTTAAATGCATTTTAAAGCAAATCTTGGTCTTATGATTAGAATGTCAGTGGTTTTCCTTGCTATGGAAAAGAAGCTGCATAATATGTTTCTAATTATGTTTATCCTCATAATGTATATTTTACAGTACTCAAGAATCTTTTGTTTTATGCTTGATTTTGAATTCATAAATGACTAAGTTTTAATCCTTTTTTTTAACATAGCAGTAAATTTTGCCTCTGAAAATTAACTAAGACTGTTTAAATTGTAACGTATCAGGACTTGAATACATATATATGGAAAAGGGTCCAAACATAAAATTCCTCTAAAGATAAAAATTTAGGCCTTTTAGGACTGATTTTCTTCAGTGCTTGGAAGAGATTGTTGTATCAGTGTTTTACCACTGGCCTGCCTTCCAGCACATTAAGACTGACACTTATGTGGGAATTGTTATCACATATCACTAGGTCTTTTTTCCTTATAACACCAGTCATTTTGCTCAACATATATTTAAATTATCCAAAAGCATCAGAAAGGAAAATGTTTAAGATATGTATGGATGGTTTATTAATTTTGCACAAACAATATGCAATAATCCTAAATAATTATTTCAGTGTATTGCCAAAAAGGTGAATATCATTAAATAGCTTAGGACAACCCTTTTTAATTTTGAATACATTACCTGGATAGAACATTCTTGCCATGATTTTTCTCATGGCACCTTTTATTTGTTCATTTCTAAGACTGTAGATAATAGGATTGAAAAGGGGAGGGATTACAGAATAAAACACTGACAGGACCATATCCAAGGTGGTTGCTGATATTACAGATGGCCTCAGGTACACATAAAAGCCTGAGCTAAGGAAGACTGACACCACAAGAATGTGAGGAATACAGGTAGAAAAGGCCTTTTTCCTGTCTGCTCCACTTGGAAACTTGAACACAGTAGAAAAGATTTGAATATAAGACCCTATGATAAAAATGAAACAGCCACCACCAATTCCCAGAGCAGAGACAACAATCGTGATCTCATTTATGATTGTGTCAGAGCAAGAGAGCTTCAGCAGCGATGGAATGTCACAGAAGAACTGGTGGATCACATTGGATCTGCAGAAGGGCAGCAAGAACGTATTGGCTGTGTGCACACTTGCGTAAACAAGTCCACTGAACAGAGAGGCCAATGTCATCTGGGTGCATATTCGAGGGTTCATGATGACAGGGTAGTGGAGGGGCTGGCAGATGGCCACATAGCGATCCCGAGCCATGATGGTGAGGAAGAGAAGTTCCACATATACAAAAAATACTACTAAAAAGACTTGAGCTACACATCCGGTCTTTGAAATGGTGCTGCTGCCAAGCAAAGAATTAATGCAGGAGTTAGGGACTGTAACAGAAATGTAGCATGCATCCAAGATAGATAGATTTCTGAGGAAGAAATACATGGGAATGTGAAGCCCTTTGTCAAAGATGGTAACAATAACAATGAAGATGTTTCCTATTAAAGTGGCCAAATAAATCAGAGAGAAGGATATGGCATGCAAAATTTGGAGATTCCGCACATCAGAAAATTCCATGAGGAGAAACTCCATCATTGTAGTGGAATTGGGCACGTCTGAGTGATCCAGCATATACCTAGGAATGGGGAGAGAAATCCTGGACTCAGAAAGAGTCACATTATGGAAAGAAAATTCATAACTATTACAGTATTGGGCTTTGATTAAGTCTAATATGTAATCATGGTTTGGATATATTTTCAGTGCTTTCCATTAGGCTATGTGATACTTTATTGAAATTGAATAGATGCTCAGTTACTAATGTTGCTGCTGTTGCTTATGCAACTTTTTTCAATGGACAGATACAGTTATTCATGTATACTTTATCTTCATTCTATAATACTGCAGAAATTACAACACCACTAAAATATTATTAATGTTTATCTATGTCAGACCAGGCATAGAATTTGGAAACTATTACTACTCATTACTACAATATTATACTGTTAGGATTACAACTGAAATAAAACATTTTTTGTTTTACATTGTTTCTCAAGGTGTTTTGAGTAGAGGTGCAATCTTGATGATTTACAATGAATACAAGTATGACATTTTCTAGTTATTTAGTTCAAGTGCTAGTTTCTGTAACGGTGTGAAATTGTTCATTTATTTACTTAGTTGTTTATTGTCAATCATGAATCAACTTCCTAGCCTGGTAATCACTGAGACCACTCTCTATCAATTTACCCTAAGTCCTTTCATAAATATACATTGAAACAGGAGTTCACCTGCTGTTGTTGTTGTTATTGTTGTTGTTTTTGTTGTTGTTCTTGAGCCAGGAACAATTGTTGACTATCAGTTATAGGCTCTAGGTGTTAGTAGGTGACATTTCAACTTTAGAAACCTCCAGGCCTCAAGAAATGTTCTTGAAATGTCTCTGTTATTCATAATTTTATGATGATGAGTTAGTAATAATTTATTCCTTTCATATTTCTGTGTATACCTTTGTATATATTCATATTGATGTATATATTTTATACCCTCGTTTTCCTTTAGTTAAGGAGCTGAAAAGTCATTGAAATTTTAAAAAGTTACTGAAATTTATCCCAGTTGAATGATTAGTATGGGGATCCCATTCATATTGTATGCAGCTCCTTTTTCTTAAAAAAGTGCTAGACTATCTAGACTTCAATCATATTTCATTATTATGTGTTGTAATCAGCATGTACACAAAAACTTCATTTTTTCTTTTTTTTTTCTTTTGTCAGTCCTGGGCTTGAACTCAGGGCCTGGTCACTGTCCATGAGCTTCTTTCGCTCAAGGCTAGCTTTCTACCACTTGAATCACAGAGCCACTTCCGGCTTTTTTATTTATGTGCTAGTGAGGAACTGAACTCAAGGCTTCATGCCTACTATGCAAGCACTCTATCAATAAGCCACATTTCCAGTCCCCCCGCCCCAAAAAACGTTTTCATTTTGAGTATGCTAGATCTAAGAAATACAGTCTTCTTTTAAAACAAAATTTCTAATATGCAACCAACTCTATAAAGAATTCATATTTGTAGAAACACATAAAATTTGAAATATGCATTCACTATCACTAAACAGCTACTTTTGCATAATGCTCTTAAATATATTACATAGCTAGATTTTTCAAATTTTTCTAATTTATGAAATAAATATACTTCATGGAACTTGGCTCTGCATGGTAAAGTAGCATATTTTAAGTTCAAAATATTTTGAACAAGGAAATTTTACTTAGCTTTTGCCAAAACCATGTATAGATCTATAATAATCTTCAACATGCTAGTTATATATGACTAGGTGGTGACTTTGTACAGATATGTCTAAAATTATTACAGAATTGATATGGTTGATATTTAGGGGAAACAGTAATTATCAATAATATGGTTTGGTTGGTATTTGCTTAGAAAGTATACTTATCTCATATTGACCAAATGGCAAGTATAAAACCCTACCTCCTTTATTTAGCAATGGCAAATTAAAAATTAGGTAAATTCCAAATTCCACTAACCAAAAAAAAAGACCCAGATGAAACAAATGTGTCTTTCTCTATAAAAACTTAAAGTTTTTATCAAAGTGACGTTATATATTTGAACATATATTCAAAATAATCTAATTACTAGGTCTTCTCCCACAGCCACTAAATAGACTGCATGTTTCTCAATAACAGTAAAGGTGGACTATATATAGGTCTTTGTGTAAAAAAATGAAGGTAATGATTATACATTTGTAAACTTTAGGCAGAAAATGCCTTGATTGAAGTTTCCAATAAATTACTCATGCAGTCACTAATTTGCATATTTATTTCCATTTTCAATCATTTGAGAAATTATCATTCCTTAATCAGTTTCAGTTCATGAGTACCTTCAAGTGACTGCAAAGTGAACAGACATTATATACTCATTTTGAACATTTTATTTGCTATGAAGATGATCATACAATGAAACTCAATTAAATTCATGTATAATATACTATTTGTTTTCTCTTGTATTTATATTTTACTATTTTCCTATGTTATTGTAATTTTCCTTCCCAGGGTCTATCTTGGTAGCCTAAATCTTGAACCACAGAGGTTTTAAGTCAGGGCCTTGTGCTACTGTCCTGTCTCCAGCAATGCTTTTGCCTGGTTATTTTGGAGATGGAGTCTTAGAAACATTTTGTCCTGAGCTGGTCTTGAAACACAATCCTGTGAATCTCAGTTTCTGGAGTACTTAGGATTACAGGCATGAAAAAACCAGTGTTTTTGATAGTTGCCTATATCTTATACCTTTGCTTATACTGCTCAGAGATTTGTGTAGAATCAATAAATTATTTTATTCTTTAAAGTGTTTTTAAATTGGTAGTTACTATAAAATCTAATTGGTGGGTAACTTTGAGGCCATAAAATCCCAGTCTTTGAAAGGATGGGACTTGTGCTAGTACTTACCCACTCACCCACAAGCTTGCATATGTCTTTACAATGCATGTATCACTCAACTTTATAAAACTCATTAGTTTGACTAATTTCTTACTTAAATGTTAAACTGGATGAATTGCCAGCATCTATGGATAGTTTGTTTTCAACTGATTCTGTTTGCTGTCGCAAATAATCTAGACAATCAGTTGAAAGTATCAAACATACAAAATCAAACAAAAGAAGCTAACAGATCATCTTCACCAGCATTGTAACACCAATATTAATAAGAAATCATACTCACTATGTCCAAACTGAAAATAGAAACTTCCTTTAGCAGTATTTTCAGCCACACACTGATTAAATGCAGATCAGTCAAATTTGCAAATTAAACTCAAATTAAAATCAGTGTTTCTTTATAGACTTCAGCATGATATCTGAAGTTCTCTGCTTCTTGTTTATATCATTATGCAACAGTCCTGCACTGTTCCAAAACTTGTTTTAGGGAAACAATTCTAAACATCTACAGGTGGCTAGAGTCCCAGGAGGAACTCAGGAGAGCACTGTTAAAAACTGAACTAATTAAGATACTTACATGGACACCAGTATCATTTGTGCATCTGGATGCAATAATTCTCATTAATACATAATCTCTCATAATATAATACTGAGAAAATCATGAAAAATATTTTAGAGGTTTGGAAGGAGTCAGACTAAATGCTGTTGGAGAGTTGTGGTTAGAAACTGTTCTGTGTTAAAATGCAGCAGAACTAATTTAGCTATAGATTGGGCAATTACCTACTTTCTCCAATTTTTTCTAGAAACTATGGGTATGCAGAAACATTATAATATGTTGTATACTTGATAAAATAAGCATTCATATCTACAGCTATAATCAAAATTTATCCCAGAAGCCAATAAGCTATATCAATCATTAAGAATGTGAAATTGTGGTTCTGGACCAGACTCTAAGCTAAACACATCTCTACTAATGGCAGTTGCCTTAGGTTGTAAATCTTTCCACTGACTGAATGCTGCATATTATCTAAATGGGGTCATTCTACTATGTTCAATTGGTGTTAATTGACCACCTAATATATTCTATGAAATTATCTTATAATGTGTGCATAAACTAAGGGATAAAGTAGAAAATTAAGCCATTGTCATAAAGTCTGAATGTCTATTTTTGCACCTAAAATGGGAAATGAATAGTCTTTTAATAAGTAACCAAATTGACTTATACTAAGAGGGCCTAAATGTAATCCAACAAATAAAACAGAACGTAGGGGAAATAAGCATTAAAACATAACATGTATTGATAAGCATATTCATACTTGTAATAAAGGTTTCCAGAAAATTTTCATCGTTAAAAACTTAGTCTTTATATATCTCCTTTCTATCTCTGGTAATCGCTACTCCATTTTTTCACAACCTTCACTAAGTTAGGAATTTCATATAACTTGCTTCAAACAGTTTTTGTCTTTTGTGACTTGCTTATTATATTTAGCACAATGCCCAATGTTGTGAATGTGACAGAAGTCCTCTCTACTTACGGCTGAATAGCATTCTTTTGTATGTAAAGACTACATTACTTTATCCACTCATTTACTGATGAACATCTGTGCTTGCTTTCACTTCTGACCTATTATAAATAGTCCAGACATGAACACAAATGTGAATGAGATACAATCCTTAAAATGGCCAAGAAAGATAAACTGATTGTGTGCTATTTGAGTGAAATCATCATTATTTGGGGAAGGATTTCAGGATCAGTCATAGTCTAAAGCAGATGTAGGGGAAGGAGGTGGACAGAGAGAGACAGAGATAGAGACAGAGAGACAGTGGGAGACAGAGACAGAGAGGGAGATTGATTATAGTTCTGTGGGTGAGAAAGGAGAGACTTTTGAAAATAGTCAGCTGCAGTATGCCTGCCTCTCCCTCAGACAAACTTTCTGTTGTTACAAATGAATATTTCCTTTCACTACGCTGTCTGGAAATGTGATCTAGAACTCCCTAAGATAGTTTTCTAAACTGATGGATTCTTGGGCTGGGAAGGTGGCTCAGTGGTAGAGCGCTTGCCTTGCATGCATAAGGCCCTGGGTTTGATTCTTCAGCACCACATAAGCAGAAAAAAAAGTCAGAAGTGGTGCTGTGGCTCAAGTGGTAGAGTGCTAACCTTGAGCTGAAGAGCTGAGAGACAGTGCCCAGGCCCAGACTTC